ATGAACTCCTAATATTAAGCAATCTTAAATACTAGGCTTTGATTGGCTGGTTTCTGCTGGCTGGCTGATGCGATCTTGGTGGTGTTGCAGGAAAATGAACTGCTAATATTAAGCAATCTTAAATACTAGGCTTTGATTGGCTGGTTTCTGCTGGCTGGCTGATGCGATCTTGGTGGTGTTGCAGGAAAATGAACTGCTAATATTAAGCAATCTTAAATACTAGGCTTTGATTGACTGGTTTCTGCTGGCTGGCTGATGCGATCTTGGTGGTGTTGCAGGAAAATGAACTGCTAATATTAAGCAATCTTAAATACTAGGCTTTCATTGATTGGTTTCTGCTGACTGGCTGATGGGATCTGAGTGTTGTTGCAGAAAAATTAAATTGTCTTAATTAAATTGCCTTTGATTCTTTAAAAAGAAATTCTTTCAGTTTCTAGCCCTACCCAACCCCAAAATAAATGAGTGTGTGTATGTGTGTGTGTGCGCATATATATATATATTGTTTCATTCTCCAATTCACTCTCGTGTAGTCATGTGTGACGTCATGAGATCTTGGTCGATTTTCGCTCCTAAGCGTCTTATATCTTTGCGTGTTCATCGTTGTTAGTGATCCACTATGTAAACTAAACAATGACAGACTATCATCACTGTCGTGTCCGTATATTGTTTGATATGTTTGTAATTACATCTTTGATAATGGCTTGAGTAAGCCGAAAGCTTAGATTATATTAAAAAATAATGGATTAAATATTGTGATTTCTTTTTTTTGGTTAATGATAATGTTATCAAACTTATCAGAAGATACGAAAAAATTTTACATAAAATAAATAGACAACACTTGTCTATATTATTTAATGAAACGTGTATAAATATATATATATATATATATATATATATACACATATAACTGTTTAGAACAGTTTAGATGCGTTGAGTATGTTGACTGTCTTCATTATAATTTTTATTAGATGACACATTGTCAAATGTTATTCATTTTTGGCTAGTATTAACTAGTTTTTTTTAGTTGATTTTTTATGACCTTTTTTATTCTATCAATCTATGGTGGCAAGAATAACATGGTATCGGAAAAAAAAGATTATAACTTAGAAAGAACCTCATTGTGTACATTAACTGCTTTAACCAGTAAGTTATGAGAACTTGCCAGCTTTTGTAGAAGAACAATCTATCACCTATTTTGATTGTTTAATGGCATATCAATGCCTTATGGATTATTTACTGCCAAAATTTAATTTTGAGAGCTTTGAAGTAATAAAAATATGTTATTCTGCTTTCACAATTGAATACATGGTAGAAGATACTTAGCTTTTGTGTATATACATGTTGTATGGACATGATTATTAGAGGCAGTGATAGGTGTGTTTTATGTTGTAGCTTTGAAGTTATATTTTGGAATACAGTTTAAGAAACTGTAGAATATTATATGAATTAATGTCATAAAAGGGTTTTTTTTATTTTCTTTGTTTTGTTTAGTGGTATTTCAATCTCTATGGGTTATTTAATACCAAAATCTAAATATTTTGAACGTAATTCTATGCCTTCAACCTCAAATAAACTGTATTGTTGGTCATTGTTTTATATAAAAATGTATTGGTGGTATTTTTACTATATATAGTATTTATACTATTTTATAGTTTCACAGTGTTTTATTTTTGTTTGGGGGGGTTCACTTTTTGCCCATAACTGGAACTCCAACAGATGCTACCACCACAGGTCTGCTATAACCTATCACTCTATCCTATGACCTCTGCACTATATTTGTTTTCTTTTTTCTGTTTTTTTTTTAAATAATGCAGTATTATTTTAATTTTATTATATGAAGCATTATCAATTGTTATTATTTTCACTAGTATTCATTTTTATCTTTAGCTATTTTTTATCACAGCTTTTATTCAAGCCATTAATCTATGCTAAAAAAAGCAACTAAAATTAATAATAGTTGATAATGTTTCATCTAATTAAAATGGAAATGAAAGTTAATTCTAGTAAAAATATTGATTATAATGGATGACAATGCTTCATCTAATAAAAAATGCCAAAGTATTTAGTGTAGAAAGTTTTGTATGGGGTATAAAGAATGGCTTTGTAAAATCTTTTAGTTTTTCATAAAGTGTCTGATCATTTCAAATCACTTTGCTTCATTTATATACACCTATTAATATACATCTATTATACACCTGTTAATATATTTATATAATAAAGAAAATGTTAATGTATTTCTCTCCCATCTGATTGGACAATTTTAAAATAAGATGAAAGCAATTTTGTGTTTATTTGTATGTATGTATAAACAAGCAGTCATCTTTAGTCATAATAGTTTGAAACATTGAAACAGCACCCCCCTCCAACCCCCAGCCACAATTCTTCTTATTAATGAAATAGTGACTAAAGGGCATATATACTTTAAAGTTACTCTTTAAATGATTGTATGTGGATGTACAAAGTGCGATGGATAAAATTACGCAAAAATGAAAATAACACTGACATCTCATTTTAACAAATATATATACCAAAATTACACAAAAATATCTTTAAATACTAAAGAGTAGATTTATTCAAAAAAATCACCATTGGCTTCAACCATGGCCTCCAGATGACTTCAGAATCTCTTGCAACTCTTCTGGAAGGTCTCCTTGTTTAAGTTGGTGAATGCTGCCATAATCCTTGCCTTCAGTTCATGTTTGGTGTTACATGGAGTTTTGTTAGTCTCTTGCTCAACTTTGCCCCACACATAATAATCAAGAGGGCTACAGTCTGGGGAGTTAGGTAGCCAGATGTAAGGGATGATGTGGTCACAGAAATTGTCTGACAGCCATGAGTGGGTTCTCTTGCGTGTGTGGTATGGTGCAGAGTCCTGTTGCCAGACATAGGGTCTTCCAGCAGCTACCCTCTTAACCTAGAGCAGCACTATCTTCTCAAGGTACTTGATGTAGGCCTCTATGTTGAGTCTGAGGCCATTTTAGAAGATGAATGATGGCATAATGACACCATCACTCCAAACACCTTTGTAATCACCATTAGATTCATCCAACTCTTTCCAAATCCTCTGCACTGTTCTCGGATTGACACCCAAACACTCTGAAATGTTTGTATTGGAACTCCTGATGCAAATGTCATACAATACATCATGTTTCCAAATTTCTTGTGGAGTGAATTGTGTCATGGTGCTCTTTTTCTCACAGATCCCTCCTGTATAGTTGACAAAAAACAAACAATGTGCATGGGATAAATTAAAAACATAAAATGGCGAAAATTTACCCATCACACCATGTATGTATGCAAATATGTAGATTTGTAAATACCTCAATAGGTACACAGACTAGTGATGAAAAAGAGCATATATTTGACAAAACAAATATGTTCTTTGTCAATGCACTTAATTTAGTAGTGAATATTACTTACACAGATTGAACATTATATAGTGAAAATTTCAGACCAAAATTCAAAGCTGTGGGCTTATTGATGCACCTTTGTATGTATGCATTTTTATATATAAAAGCCAGTGTTAATTTTTTGTTATGCACAAAATGTGCCATACTGTGTTTTTGTTCATATCTAAGAGTGTTGACCAGATATTTTACATAAAAGACCTTAAAATAAATCTGTATATATGTTGTTCATCCCATCCCAAAATCAGTACAAATTGTAGCAATGATCATGGTCTTTTTGAAATAAAATTTTATATATTTTTTTTAGTTTTTGTTTTTATTCCAGGAAATTAGCATAAACTTAGTCATAAAAAATAAAAATTATTTTTGCATACTTAAAGCAGATTTTAGACTGTTTCAGATGTTAATTTTTATCATCCAAAATGGACTTAAATTATGTCTTGATTCATGTTTGCTAACAGCATAATTTAAACTCTGTAATTAAAAATATTCTAGAAATAATGTAGCCATTATAGGAATATTGGAGTTGATGAAAGTTTGTTGATTTAATAATGACTTAACTGGATTTAGAAAAATATGACTTACTTTTTACTTGAAATATAATGATAAATACATTAGTTTACAGCAGGTATCTCTTACCAATGACAATTGATGGCACATTTAAATTTTTGTAAGATCATAGTTGACAGGAAAGTAAGAAGCTGGAAGAGAGTTCTACGAATGAGAAATGCGATAGAAGAAACCATTAAAATAGAACTTATGCTTACACCTAGACAGTAGAATGATGAGACCTAATTGCCAATCTAGTATTATGCTTAAATTCATGAAATTGAAGTATCAAAGAGGAGAATACAGAAAACATCCTATGAAAATATTTAATTGAAAAAGCACAGGGAAGCTATGTTAAAGTGGTGGGAAAGTGATTAAAGCTGAGATGCCAGGTCAGGACTGATAACATTTCTTTACCTATTTGTGATGAAAATGCATTTAAATTTACATGCATCACATGAGTTGAATTATGGATGATCAAAAATGATAAAACTTTCCTGAAATCAATTCAGCTCTCTCATGAGATGTGTGTAAATTATGGATGACCAAAAATGATAAAACATGCCTGAAATTACCCCAATAGCAAAAGTATCTTCTCAACAATAAGATATGATGAGAAATATTCTTCTATATAAATAATATGTATGTAATGATGTTTAATTAGTTTTCATATGGAGGAAGCAATGAAACAAGCTTATTAACCAGTCAACCGGAACAGACATCTGTTCTAATGTAAACATATTTATTTGTATAAATACATTGTCAGATTTTATTGTGATTGATTTTTTTTTATGACTTATCAATCTCTTGCTGGTTATTTAAAACCAGAAAATATTTTTCATTGTAAGAATTTTTTGCGACAATAATGATTTCCTGATAAAAGTCCTACTAAATAACCCATAGCTGGGGGGAGAAGAGGTGGATTCATACCTTTCCCAAGGGTATTTACATGTTAGTGAATATAGATAAGACTGTAATTGGAACCCTGCTCTCTGATTTTCAATCCCAAACTATTATCCATTACACCACCTGCACATCCAAGTGTACAGCACTAGGTATTCCCTAGTAGTCACCCATCTAGGTAGTGACCAGGCTCGATGTTGCTTAACTTTGGAGATCGTACATGAACTGGTGTTTCAATGTGAGATGACCTTGAGCTGATTTTATTATGCAAGTCAATGTTTTCACAATAAAATTGGTATTAACCAACAGAATAATTACGCTACTTATATGCTTCAGCCAGTGTGCCCTCCAGCCTTCATCAGGTGTATGTTGACCCAGTTAACCTACAGGGAATTCCAAACTGAAACCTTTATTTAATCTACAGATGTAGACTACCACTGCCCATGTCTAGGGATATCTCGTTTTAGTTCTTATTATTAGTATTGCCCAGTTATTGATTGTACTGTTTCCACTGAGTCCAATTTCACACTGTCTGGCCTAATGATTGAACTCACAATTACTATTTCACCAAATTCACAAACTAATGCTTTAATTCTCTAGGCTATTTGTCCTGTGGCCAAAACTTTGTGATAACAGCAACAAACATAAGGACAATCGTCTGCATGTAAATAGTGTAAATAATCTCATCCAAGAAAATTAGGCAGAAATTATCTAACATATATCAGTAACATTTTTATATGAGGAACTAGCAGCATGGCCTGGTGTTGCCCGTGCTTGATTCAAAAATCGTACGACTCATACAGAAATCGCTATCACTTGACTTAAAATATTTTTGCCCTTCCTTGCCTTTTTGCTGTGCTGATGTTGCTACATGCCTTACTTCTTGCCTATCTCACACTGTGAATTTTTTTCTAAGCTCTATACTAAACATTAAATCTGTTCTGAAAAAGAACTAAACAAAATGAACACAAAACGATCAGCTTTAAAAAAGGACTCGTAACTGGAAAAACTGATTGAAAAAAGAATGTTAACTACAAAAACTTTTTCACACACAACCCAGTTCCGTGGAATCAGAATCAACATTGAGTTTAAGCAAGCAAATGAGCCAATTGGAGTAAAGTGCCATGCAGATTTAAATTTTTCCCACTTGTGACGAATGCAGCTATCGTTTTTTTTTGCATGCTAGTTAACATTCGTGTCAGTCAGCTGTTGGCTCTCATGCTGGCCAATACAATCTTCCTGCCTATTTGTGGCTCTCACTCTGGCCAGTAGAAAATGGCCACAAACTACATGAAAACTGCCGTAGAAGCATGAAAAAATCAATTATTTCCACTATCGATGGGTGTTGGGAAATGTAAAGTCGGTCTTGGCCTTCCCACTAACTTGGAGCATGTGCATGTAAATTTTGATGCAAATCTGTTGAAAATTGCGGCCATGCATTCATCACACACACACACACACACACACACACACACACACACACACATCCTGTCTTTTATAGATAGAGATATATCATGTGAGATTCAGTTTATAACATCTCTTTTTATTAAAAATATGCTCAACAAACAGAATTGACAAAGTTTCCAATAAACAATAAGAAAAGGAAGAAAAAGAACAGGGCAAAATAATATCAAGCAGACAATATATATGCAAGACAAAACTAGGCAAAGTAATAATTAATTTTAATTATAGTGCCATGAGTGATACATGCTTAGGCAATCATATCTTTTGATACATGACTGATGAGACAGATTTTTTTCATGCAGTAGGTTGCCATTTCTTTCTGCCATCCAAAGCTATAGAGCCCGATCTGACCTGCTATTAACCCATAGCTGGGGGAGAAGAGGAGGATTCATACCTTTCCCAAGAGTATTAGCACGTAAGTGAATGTAATGGATTTGACTGGAATTCAAACTCTGCTCTCTGATTCCTCAACCTGAGCTGTTATCTATAACTCTACAATGAAGCAAAAACAATGGTGTTCACACACAAAAGGGATTTTAGTGTTTTGACTTCAAGACAAGAAAGAACAAAAATATGGCAGCTGAGACTGAGAAGTGGTCTAGTTTTATTGGTTAGGAAGGAATCCCAACGTGCATCTGTATAATGTGTCTATAAATTTGGAGATGAGGGATGTTTTTGCAGTCATTCCTATATGATTCTAATTATTTTGGTAAGAAAAAAAGGAAAAAGAGACAGTTGTACATATGAAATTTTTATATCATGGGTGTTTTAGTAGGATCCCTGTGAGTATGTGGTATTGTGGTATGTGGCGGATTGAATGGTGAGGGATGAGTTCTTGTGGTGAATGAATAAATTGTAAGGAATGAATGGGTTATAAATCTGATTAGCTACGTTTAGGATAGTTAGTGTAAGACCAACGTCACCCCCACCTCCCTTTTTGGCCTTGTGCTGCAATTGTATTGAAAGATACAATAAATACACATTCCTATATGATTGATTCCAAGATATTTCAACTCTGATATTACTTGTGGTAATTTTTATTGCTTGCCAGAATTCTTCTTTGCATGAATATTGTTTTTCATTCTCATTTATATCTCTTTAAAATTTTCTTTTGGATTAATATCTGGAGAGGCTTGGGATATTCTATTAATTTGGTGTCTCTGAAATCTTTTTTGGCAAGGTAGGCAGTAGTGAATTTTGCAGAATGTAAAGTGGGCATTGGCTTGCATGAATATACACTTTAGATTAAGGTTTCTTGATGGTGACCTGTACTAATCAAACATGTATTGTCCAAGAAAATTACAATAACTCTCTGCATTTTATCTTGACAGTATTATCAACTTTGAAGACACGTATCATTTTACAACCCACAATACTATCTCAAAACATTACTCTACATCCACTTTGTTGTCTTTTAAGTTGTGTTGGTTGACTATTTTCATGAAGGACTCAATCTCTACCCCAACTATCACTAAGAAGTATTGTTGAAGAATCAGTTTCCATCTATTTCGGCATGCAATCTACAGGATTTTGTTTGTTTAAAGATGGTGTTTTGGTTTCTTTCATGTTAGCTAATTTTCTTAATATTCTACATCTTTTCTTTTTGTTTCCAGGTACGATACAAGCTTCTTCAAATATTTCTTTCTTGTCAGTTCATTTTTCTTGTTTGTTATCTTTAGAATTTTTCTCATATCTTTGGGACATTCTTCAAGCCAGTTTTTTTGTTCTTATTTTGCCAATATTTCCAATTTCTTTTTTAATCCACATATATATTATTTTTCAATAATATTCACTCTGTACAAGGCTAGAGAGCCACTTGAAGTGGAGGGTTACATGAAGAAAAGACTTTAGAAGGAACTGGAAGGCCAATTGTAAACAGAAAACAAGAGAAAAACCTTTACTCCTGTTCAAAAGACTGGGGAGGAGTGTGAACTGGATGATAGGCAAACCTATCTACTCCTGTTGAGAAAAGAAAAAGTAATTCAATAGTAAATAAAAGTTCAGAGTTTTAGGTGGATATATTAGAAGTATAGAGTTGAAGTAGACTTTAGAAGAAACCAGAAACCCAATCCTAAACAGTAAATAAAGGATAAACCTATACACCCGTATATATGATCTTTGTTCAACTTTTCTGTAAAATGTTGTTTCCATAATTAAATAACTTTGTAATATCTTATTTTCCTTTTGAGGTTATATCTTTCTTTTCTGAAAATAAGAATTAAATATCAGTAAATATTCTATTATAAATGTATATTTATTTACATTATGATGAAAAACCGCCAAGTTGCATAATGATAACTCATAGAAACCAAATAAGTTATTGTAAATATTAAAAAACAAAATATCTGCTGACATTCAGTATTGGTATATTTATCCTATAAATATACCTGAACATTCTACTAACATTGTTTTGTTAATACCAATTTAATTGTGAAAACATTAACTTGCATAATAAAATCTGATATAGTGTAGATGTGTTTGAATGCATGTATTTCTCTAAATTAAAAGTGGTGTGTTGTTTTTCTATTGATTTTACTATTAAAATTAGTATAAAAACGAACATTTTTTCCCCACTAATAATCACTAATGTTGCCTGACTTATTCATTTGCTGAATCTAAAATATAAATTTTCAGAGTAACTATTCTGCTCATGTTTTAAATTTATTTGCTTCGAAATAAAAATCTAGAATGTTAAAAATATTTTTCAAGAGAAATCAGAATGAATATTATGAAAGCAGAATAATTAATTCTGTATATTTTATTTTCTCTATCATTTCTGAATGGGAAATGGTTATTTAGGCTGTTAAGCTAATTGCAAATATATATTCCTTTAAAATCTAATATGGAAAAGATTACCATTTAAAGATAATTTCTTATTTTGGGAAAAAATTTTTAAATATTTAAAATAGCAGGAAGTAAAAAGTGATTTGTACTTTTCTAATTTCTTATACCAGCTTATTTTAAATATACAGTGCTTTTAGATATGTGATCCTCTTAATTATACAGTCTTTCTCTGTTTAATTATACAATCTGTCTCTGTTTAATTAGAGGAAACATAGTAAGAGAGTCAGTATAACATGCATACACCCAATCGTTATTTAAATTTACTTTTTGCTTTTAATTTGAAGCTTGTGTGTAGTGACATTTTTTTAAGCAGATGTGGCTAGTGTAACTATTGGCATAGTAAGCATGGTTGGCAAGATGAGTTCAAGTTCTGTTCTCATCTGTTGCATTCACTTTCACACAAATGCCCTTGGCAAAGCATGAATCTATTGCTCCCTACCCTGAGTTATGGGTTAAATAGCAGGGTAGACTGGGCTCCCAAACCTTGGGTGGCAACCAGTCTAAGAGAAGGAAAATTCTGAATTCCAAACTGTGGTAAAAGCAATGGGGAAACTACTTATCTTTGCCAAAAAGTCATGCCTATTCACAGATAATAAAAAAAAAAAAAAGGAATCTGTGGAGAGCCATGATCACCTACATCCTGAAGGATGGTAGCATTTAAAAAAAAGAGAAAATATGACAGCATTCGGACATTAAATTTCTGTTTAATAATAATAACAACAACATGTACATTGATTATATATTTATTGAGTCATTGTGAAGTGTCTTTGACGACCTGATGGCATGTTATTGGGTGATATGAAGACCTAACCATATCTTTTGGTTAGAGATGCAAAATAAAATGGATATTAGCATATCTCAAGATTGATTGATTTCTATTTTACAGCTTATCAACCTTTTGCAGGTTATTTAAAACAAGGAAACATTTTTTTTTTCTTTTTTTCTTTTTGAATTTTCTGGAGATAATGATTTACTGATACAAGTCCTACTAATTAATACATTAAGAGGAGAATGTGGATTCATACCTTTTCCGAGTGTATTTGTGCATAGGTGAATATAACAAACCGAACTTGAATTAGAACTCATCTCTCTGATTTCCAATTTCAAGCTGTTATTCATTACACCAACTGCACATCCCAGCTTACAGCATTTGGTGTTCCCACATGGTCATGCACCTAGGTACTGACTAGGTTCGACATTGCTTAACTTTGGTGATCATATGTGAACTGGAATTTCAACATGATATGGTTGTAAGCCAAATTTGATGATTAACAGTGCTTACAGTGAGAATCTTGCAGGTCACTGTAAAAGAAGAGAGTAGAAGGTGCAGGCCAGTGGCGTAGCTAGAGTAAACATCACCCGGGGTGGTCCGCTCAAATGTCACCCCAATGACCCCAATTCACCCTATGCTGAATGGTTAGCTGTAGCTAAATTTTCATACATGCTCTACCTCTACTTTACTCTGCTGACTGGTACGTTACTGTTTACATGTATGATCCAAGACAAAATCTAATACCACAAAATAATCAGTTCAAATCAAAAGATTTTTAAAATGCAACTGTTCACTTTCAGAACAACTAAATACAAAACATGGCAATACACAAAAGAATGACATTCGATACTATGGTCTTAGAATGAATGTTTTCTTGTTTTCATTGTGGCAAACTGGTCAATGACATCGTCAAAATCTGTTTGTCTTGTAAACTCGTTTTCAATGGACAGCACAGCCAGATCCGACAGTCTCGACTGGCTCATGGTTGACATAATTTTCTGTTGCTAATTTTACGGTGTTCAATTTTCTGTTGCATCATTTTCTGGGTACCATTTAATTATCAATGATGTTTGAAAGTATTTTTCTTGACAAAAATGTTCTATTTAATTTTTAAGCATTTTTTGGAACATTGTAAATCAACTGCATTCTTTTAAAGGTTACCTAGAGAATTTATGCAAAGTTTATTTTTTTGTTTTTCTTTATACAAGTAAAATAAATTTACATCGTATTTTGATGTTATTATGATTTTAGTTTTAGTGATAATTTAATAACAATAAATATTTATCATTAGTACCAATAATGGAAAATTAAGTTAAAAATTTAAAAGAATCGTTTTTGGAATCGGAAAAAAGGCACAAATTTTTCCGATTCTGACACCGTTTCCAATACCCCAAAAAGTTCCAATTTTTCCGATTCTCAATTCCGAGTAATTGTCCCAACACTAGTAGATATATTCAAAAGTATATTGCTCACTCAATGGAAAATTGTACACAGGCAAGACTGAAATTGTTGCACTTTTGGCTTCGTATTTTGCTTTGTTGTTATTGATGTTGAGTTAAAACACCATAATCATCCGATAAAATGTTACAACAATGTCTCTTGTTAGTAACCAAGATTGTAGCAACTGAAACACATGAAAGCTGAAAACATTACTATTTTTCCTACTCACAAATTTCCCGACAATTTATTAGAAAATTTCTGACATGGGGACAAAACTGGGGGGTCATATGCCCGCCTGTGAAACTCTGTGTCTCCACCACTGTTTTCAGACTATTTTTGGAACCTTAGCCTGGTTAAAAAATTTTGTTGGAGGTGACATTGTGTCACTCCTCTTGTGCTGGCACTCGGGGCGGTTGCCCCCCGCTAGCTACACCTCTGGTGCAGGCAGAAAGAAAGATGTGAAGATATTATTCCAGAATTGATGATTATACAATTGAGCAACACTCTGAGTGAGGAAGCTGGTTGTCAAGTTATCAGCTACATGATGATACAAGGGTAGAGAAATTTAATTATCCTTAAATTGGGGAAACTTGGTTTCAGATTCTTAGACAATGATTTATTTTCACTTTGTCTTTGTTTCGCTACAGAATGATTTCACCATATAATTTTAAAGTAATTATTTTTTTAAATATTTACCAAACTTAAGTTGGTCGCATGAATTAAAAGATCAAACTCACTGCAGTAGTAATGTTCTGCTAAAATTGTTTGTTTACCATAAGTCTATGGCAAGACATGTAAGTAATTCTCATGGTTTCATTCAAGGAGTGTTCTGGGTATGACAATAAACTACATCCGCATCCTGGGTAAGATGATAATGTCCAACAGCAAGGCTTCTTATTGGGAGGTTTTGAGGAATGTGGAACCACCTCTTAATTGCTGGTGTTCCTAGGTCCACTCTGACCCAGGGTGGTAGTACCTGTTAGGGTCCCAGCTATGGGTAAATAGTTAACCCCCAAACTGGGGTCAAAACACTATGAAAGTGTAAAAATATGTTTTAATACCAGCAATATGTTTTTGTAAAAATATTACCAGAAATACATTTTTGAAGAAAAAATATTACCAGCAATAAAAATCTTGTCGGCATTAAATAATCCATCGAGGTTGATATGCCGTAAAACAAAACAAAATAAACCAATTCATTCAAGGAAAAATTCACTGTGAGGTTTAATAATTTTTGTAGAGTTTTTTTGTACTGTTGATGTCATGGGTTTTTCTTGTAGTAACAATGACAAAAAGAATTAGCTTAATAATTTAAATAATTCTTACTATATAAACAACCTCTCTGAAAATTACAGAATGCATTTTAATAATTTTTTTTATTTTAAAGATATTTTTAATTAAACCTAGAAAATATAATTTTGCATGTGTATTTGAAAATCCTTATCTAATTTGACCAAATGAAAAACAAAATCTATTTTAGACAAGCTTTCTTTTACCCATTAATGCCTATTTTGTGGGTGGTGGGTATTAATGGGTTATCTGCCACATGTACAGGTGGTTGGCATCTAAACTAGTTCCCCCACTAGCTTTTCTGCTGGTAGAAAGGATGAAAAACAAGACCTATCAAAGAATGGATGCGCTTCATATAGGAGCCAATGACCGACACACACACACATATAATGTTTTAAATTAATTTAATTAATTTTTTATTTAGTTCTTCCAGCAATTTTACATTTTTCCATTTGCTGGGAGTAAAGGAGTACAAAAATTGTCCATTGTCCCAAGCGCCACTTCTTTAGCACTTGGGACAGTGTTCTTGGTGGATCCAAAGTAATATTTAACATCATCGTCTGAATTCATCCTAGCTCTGTATTCCACACTTGAAGATTGCATGTTTGCATGAAACTCTGAGTCGTGATGTCAACGTTGGATATTATGTATATTCACTAATATATTACTTAATAGCTCTGTTATATAATATTTAGCACAGTTTTTTCATAACACCTGAGAAAGAATATATATATATATATATATATATATATATATATATATATATATATATATATATAAAAAAAAAAAAAAAAACAGTAAGATATATAATCCAGTGTTCTTATAGATATTTTTATTTTTACAAAATAGTGCTCAATGCAAATTTACAGAGCATTAATATTATAAATTAATTGATTTAAAATATTTTTTTTTTTTTTTAATTCAGTTCTAATCACGTTTCAAAATGGAAGCTAAAAGCCCCAAATTTAATTTTGTAATTAAATTAAAGACATTAGTTCCATTTCATCCTCAATTTATTTTTCCTTTTTTGAAACATGGTTAGAACTGTGTAGCGAAAAAAAAAAAAATTTTTAAATCAATTAATTTATAATAAAAATATGTGTGTGTAAGTATATATGTATGTTTTTTTATATCATACCCATATATCTATTTATCTAGCTAGCATGGTGTCTCAAGCCTTGAATGGCAATCTTTCTAGAGATGGTGTTTTGATAAAAACACTTGGTGTACTTGGACTGCCATGAGTGTCTGAGTTGGGCATCAAGTAGAGCATCCAGTCTTGTAAAACCTTACCTCAAATCATTATGACAACAGATCCTCTGTCAGGCAAGACCCCACCCTGCTTTGTGTGAGATTAATTCTGGTCCTCCCTCAACCACAAACATGGCTATGGATGGTAGAAGACTATAATTAATTTATATGATTAATTTTTTATGAACCTATAATTATTATTAGATTTTTTTTTTTATATTTAGAACCTATATTTAATATTTTAATGGTGGACCATAAGTGGTTAAAAGGAAAATGTCCCTAAAATATTAGATATTATTTTCGCTCTTCTTTGACCCATTTGACATTTTTTTCTATTGTATTTTATTTGGACTTTTTTCTATCATTTTTTCTTCAAACTTTGAAATTTACCATATTTTTTAATGTTTTCTCTTTAATCTACAATCATGCAGCAACCCACCATTTTCCTGACTTCTATTAAACTTACCCTTTTTCCCCCCATTCCTATCAATATGAATGCTTTTTTTTTGTGTCTATGTGCAAATTTGTTTAATCCTCCAAAACAGCACTTGATTAGCATGAATGAATTAATTTATTAACACTAATAATAATTTGTAGAATCATGGCTTAAATATTTATAGATTATAATGATGTCATGAAAACCTTCAGTAGTGATAATAAATTTAGAATCGCAAAAGTTACAAAACAACTTTATATTAAAGGGCAAAACAAAAGTTCAAATGCATCTTCTCTCTTGTTTTTTGTTTCATTTGTTTCTGTCTTATGGACATTGTTAAAATTTCCAAAGTTTTAAACTTGGCAAGTATCATTTCAGAATAACTGAAAATGCGTTAGTCAGTATTGAAAATGCATTTTGCCAAAAAATGTGGGGAGGGGCTCACTTAAGCAAGTCAATCCAAAAGGCTAAATTAAATATACATTCCATCTGAATTTATTATGCAAATCACATAAACTTTAATAACTCGAATATGCTTTGAAAAATCTTTGTCAAATTTTAAATGATTAATGTAGATGTCAAAACAAAGCTTCAGTTAAATTTTTAGGTTGTTTCAACATGTTTGACATGATTATTTGTTGATGATTTTATTACCTTGTTATTTAAGTATAAAGTGATTTTCAGGGTTTTCATAATAGGTTCAGACTACAGAGTTTATAATAAATTCAACAATTTCAATAAAAAAATTTTGAAACTCTCTAAAAATTTAACTTAACCTTTGTTTTGACATCTAAATTATTTAAAATTTGATAATGTTTTTCAAATCAAGTCCGAGTTATTTAGGTTTATGTGATTTGCATAATAACTTCAGACTGTAGATTAACTTTTAATGATTGAATTTCTTACCAAAAACCTTAATTCTTGCTAACATCTATTATTAAAGATTTCTATTCATCAATATAAAGTCTATAAAATGAAGCTACTTCAGAAATTTAATTGTTTCAATATTAATTATTTTCATTATTCCACATAATTTTCAGACTAGACTTTATTTTTGTAAACAT